TGTGCCGTCGAAGGGCTTCATGCCGCTCATCCCGCGGTGGGGCCTTGCGGAATACCTCACGCCCAGCATCGCGCAGAGTGGTCTCTAACTGTTCAAAGAGTCGATCTGGAAGTTCATGGCCCATATTTTGTTCATGCGTCGAAATATTGCGCGCCATATACTCCTCGACTCCCCCCCCCAAAAAAAAAGAGCTGCTTGGTAGGTGGGCATCTGCCCGTGAAAGCGTCCATCATGCTGTCACGGCACCATTGCCATGGAGTACTTGTCTCAGCGCGGACCCTGCTGCCATCACAGAACTCACATGGATCGGTAAGTGATCCTTCTTCTTTCTGCTTCGTATTTATCAACTGCAAACGCCTGCCAAGTCCAGCCAATGGCCCAGCCGATTGTTCCTGAATAGTGCACGGGTAACATAGATTATCAATTAAGCTGCTGCGTCCCTGATCACCATACCACGCATCCATGTCAACAGCAGTGTTGGTGGCCCAAAAGCTGTGCAACTCCAGTATCTGTCAAAATTCCCGTCCCGCGTAGTTTTCCCTGCGAACACCCGCGGTGTCAACCACCGACGTATGCATCATCATATTCTGCCCCCGCGGTCCAGCTTGCAGCCCCATGCCGTCGTTCAGGTCTATGCCGATAATGGGGGCACTGCGCGCGGGGGTGTCGTTCAATACGTCAAAGATCCATCCAACCAATTTCTGTATAGCGCTCTCGTAAGTCGTCACCGTCTTAGCTTTCGTCGGTCGGGACGGGGCATATGCGCCAATGAAAGAGAAATCATGAAATATGTTGGCAATGCGCACGGCAAATCCCCGCCCCGCGAACGATGCATGGGGGTACTAGTACTCTGCGCACATTTGTTTCCCGAAACTTTTTCCCAAAAGTCATAAGTATGCCCGTCGCCTTGCTAGCATTGGTTCCCTTCTGAAATCCTGCATCAATGCACCATCTTGCTCCAGCTCGAGCTTGTTCCACGCGCAGATCCGTGCGCATCTGGGCGTCCGTCAAAATAACCGCATCACTTGTTGCAGCGGCTACCTCAACATCATCAACTCGTGTTTGTCGAGTCGCTGCCAATGGGTTGTAATGAAGAAATCGCCACGTCGGTAGTCGGCAATGTCGCGCTGGGGCCGCCGTCGCCTCACGATGCGAGGAGAGCGCGGCGAGAAATGGTTCCCATGCCCGTGCCGCCACCAGGGGGGCGCCATCACAGCCCTCAATACCTCCACCCGCGCAGGTGGCGGCACTTCTCGGTTCGATATCGGTGTTGGCCGTGTTGTGTCCTTAGTATAGCCTCATGTGGCTCGGAGGACGACAACGACGACGATGAGGACGAGGACGCGGACGAGGAAGAGGAGGAGGAGGAGCAGGAGGAGGAGGAGGGGGAGGGTGCCATCGACAAGGAAGGTGAGGGCCACGAGGTCCGCCGCCTCGACGCCCGCGTCGCCCTCGCCCGCCCCCTCACTCTTATCCGCAATTGCGGGGTGCTACGTAGATGTGTGTGTGTGTGTGCATGTGCGTGCATGCATGCACGTATGTCTTTCTGTCTGTTTGTCCGTCTGTGTGTCTGTCTGTCTGCATGAATGTACGTACGATTGAAGGAAGAAATTAAGGAAGACTCCCCCCTCCCCCGAAATTCAAAGCAGGCACGAAGACCCAACATCGGAAGATCCGAAAACAACATTGCATTTGGGGCGAGGGGGGTTCAAGCCATATGTTATGCATGATTGTTGCTCAAGTGTTTCCGACACATGTATGCATGTAGGTATGTATGTGTGTATGTATGTATGTGTGTATGTATGTGTATATATGTATGTAGGTATGTACGTACGTACATACGTATGCATGTAGGTATGTATATATGGATGTATGTATGTATTTATGTATGTATGTTTGTGCATGTATGTGCATGTATGTGTGTACGTATGTATGAATGTATGTATGTGTGTGTGCATGTTTGTATGTATATGTGTGTGTGTGTATGTACGTACGTACGCACGTACGTATGAATGTACGTACGTACGTACGTACGTACGTACGTACGTATGCATGCATGCATGCATGTATGTATGTATGTATGTATGTATGTATGTATGTATGTATGGTGTTTGATGAAATGATGGTAGGTCAATGTTAAACTATACACCTGTTTATCAAGTGTTTCTCAGGCTGGATGTGAGTGGCAGCTCTCTGGATCAAGAATTGGCAGCTTTTGGTCCCCCGCATGTGCAATATAATATGCTGCTCTCTCCTCTGTTTGATCATGCTGCTGAGGGTCTGTCGTCGGGAGTTGACACACCTGGGCTCAGTATGACCTAATCCAGTGATCTGTACTGGGTAGCGCCCCCCGCCCCAGCCCGAAAGCATTGCTCGACTGCCTGCTGGCCCCCTTCGCGCCCCCGCCCCCAATCCGAAGCAACACGGAAGACTGATCGGCTCTTCCCCAATCCGTGCTTGCCCTGAAAGGAGCTGGAGGAGGAGGAGGGGGAGGCGGTGGAGGAGGCGGAGGAGGAGCACATGCGCTGCCGATCTCGGTGGGCTGTTGGGTTCCCTGGCTCCCGAGATCGCAGAAGCGTCTGGTGGATGCTCGCAGTCGATTGCGGCGGACGGCAGGGTTCCCGAGTTCACATGTTCCTGCGAGCGTGCCAGTCGGGACCCTCGCAACGCTTCAAGGATGCCCCCGACAGGGCCCTAAGATGCCCCCAAGATGCCCCCAAGATGCCTCCAAGAGGGCTCCAAGACGGCGTCATGTGGACCCCACGATGGAGGAAACCCAAAGGTACCGATACAGCTACTCCCCGGACCTCTCCCAGGGTGCATTCTGACCAGAATTGCGAGGCGAATCCAGCGGTGGCGGCGAGGGCCTCCCAGGAAGCCCAAGAAGGGGGAAAACGAGGGAAGGGTAGCGGCATCGGTACCCCTTCCCCCTCTGACAAAGAAGGGCCCAAAGTCAACATGCGGGCATCCTGACTTTAGGCCCAACTGGCATACGTACTGCGAAGGCATGGCAAATGTAATCCCACTTCTGACGAATGAGGTCTCTTGGCGGCATGTTTGTGCGCACGGTACAATTGCAGCTGCAGTGCAGAATGTGTGTGTACTGTTGATGCTAATTTTCCACATTTGTCAACCTTCGTGTCCTACGCGCCTCCTGGTGTATGTCTTCTTGCTTTAGATAGGACATGTCCCCCTACAGGCGGATTCTGGACAAACAAAAATCCCCAAACAATTTCAAACATACCGAAGAAATAGTCGAAACATCGTCCCCAGACTATTGACTATTTTTGAATATTCCTCCTGTGGAGGGACATGCCCGACTTAAGACGTCTTGCTGCTGCTGCTCCCGCGGTCCACTCGGAGCCCCCCTGGGAACTGGGGGACCCTGCAGGCGACGCCGCCCTCCAGCGCCGCGCCGCGGCCCCGCTGGGGGCCCCCCCTCAAGCGCGCCTCTGGCGGCGAGGCGGCCCCGCACCCGGGGGAGTCCCCGCCCCCGGCCCGCCGCCCGCGGAGGATCGCGCGGCACCGCCGACGCATCGCCAACGTGGCTCGATGTGGTGGCCGAACTTCTCCACGCCGACGTCGCCGATGCATCGACGCATTCATCTGAGAATGCCCCCCCCCCTCACTGATCTAGGCCTTCTGGATGGGGTCGGAGTGGATGGGGTCGGAGTGGATGGGGTCGGAGTGGATGGGGTCGAAGGATCGCGCCGCATCACCGATGCGTCGCCGATGCGGCTCGATGTGGTGCCCGAGTTTCTCCACGCCGACGTCGCAATCTGGGCGAGGCAGTTTGAAGGCCGACTCGGGGTGAAATTTCTCGGCGGCCGGGAGGGTGGCCGAGGTGCGGGGCCGGGAGGATGGCCGAGCTTGAATTGCATCCTCAGGGGGACCTTGTCTGCCCCGTCGCGCCCCTATCCGCGTCGAATCCGTGTCGAATCCGTGTCGGACTCGTCGGATCCGTGCCGAATCCATGTCGAATCCGCGCCGGATCCACGCCACATCCGCGCCGAGTGCGCATCGAGCCCGCGTCGGGCACAAGAGAAGACACCAATTTTGGGGACAGGCGAGGTCCTCCGAAGATGCAACGTAACGAGCTGGTAGCCTGCCATAAGATGGGCGACCGTCCCAGACCCCCTGGTGCTTACAAAATGTGGCTCGATGTGGTGCCCGATTTTCTCCACGCCGACGTCGCCGATGCATCGCAAACGTCGCCGATGCATCGCAAACGTCGCCGATGCATCGGCGATACATCGGCGATGCGGCGCGATCCTCAGGCCCCATCTACTCGGACCCCATCTGGGAGGCCTCTGTGGCCGAGGGCCTCGCCAGGAACTCCTCCACACCCGTATGTAATCGGAACTGCCGTCGCCCGAAAAGCACAAGCTACGGCAGACCTGCTTTCTCGGGGGGACGTGAAGGTGAGTAGGGGCAGAGGTGGATCCAGAGGAAAATCGATCGAAACGGTCAGTGGAAGAAGGAAATGTGAGTATCCAGCTGAGTATGTTCCCGAATTCCACCTTGGGGGAACCACCCCTCTACGAACCCCCGAGATTTGTGATTCCGGCCTGGTCCAGCACCGGGCACCCCCGCCGCGAGTACCGCGCGCGACCACCAGCGCCGTCCCAGGGCAGAGCTCCAGAAGCGAAGCGGCCGTCGCCGAGCGCTGTGAAGTGCCAAGCCAGTGGGGGGCTGCCAGTGGGAGAGCTGCCACGAACGAACGAACGACGCGCGAGTCGTGCCTGGCTAGCGGCCTGCGCGGAGCGGCGGTGGCCGCTCACTTCATCAGCATATTGAGCTCCAACTCAGGGGCAGAGCTGCCTGCCAACGGGGATGCTAACATCCCGGGCGCCAGTGCGGGGGACACCTCCACTCTCCGTGGCCAGCCTTCCCCTTTCTATCCGTACATCCCCGGGCTCCCCCATCGGGAGATGTGGCGACTAGAGTGGCAGACGCAACGAAGACCACACGACAGCAGCGAGAAAGCCGCACGGCAGTTCCTGGAACTTGCCGTAGAACACCTCCAGAGCCTCGCGGTCCTTTCGCGGATGCTGCGCTTGATTCCCGTATCTATCCGCCTGACGTTTCGGACTCTAGGCATCCAGTGTCTGAGTATCGCGTGTGCCAAGAAATGGATATCCTCTTCCTTTTCTTCATCCTCCTCGTCAGGGCTTTGCTTTCTGGAAAGGCCCATTTCACCACGGGCATATTCGATACTGCTGGCCGATGTCATGTAGGTGCGTTGGTGGTGATTCAAACTAAACACTGCGTTCGTGCTCTGATGGCACACTGGCACTACCGTCACTCCGAGACTACTAAGCGGACGATGTGAAACCACATTTGCGATTCGATGGCAACCCAAGATCATACCAAAGAAACGCACAGCTTAACCATGACAGACTTGAGGGGGGAGGAGAAACGGAGGCATCAGAGGAGGCTCTGCTCAACGCGCTGCTAGAAACATCGTAGGCCCTGGCCAACATAATCGTTATTGGCTGATTGGGCGCTGTCTTCCAACCAAACGAACGGCATCAAAGGCCTGCGGCTACTGTGTCCGAGTGCGGACCCGAATTATCGAATGATTGGTTGCACAAGCTGCTGGGGCGGGAGCACGTGGCACGGGGGGACACGAGGGAAATGAGATGCGAACGAGAGGGGTGCCTTGAGCAGCGAGCTGATGCGCTACGGTTCTGCTGAATCCCTACTGTTAGGTCGGGCATGTCCCCCTACTGGCGGATTTTGAACGACAGATGAAAAATAGTCAACACATATATATATATATATATATATATATATATATATATAAAGGATACGTGCGGAATGGCGAAGCCCCTGGAATCCTTTTCTTGGGCCAAACGACTTCAGTACACATCGTGGCAGCTCGTACATCGTGGAGCCCTGCAACCCTCCTCGAGGCCGCTGTGCAAGCTAGCGGACTCGTCAGTCCAACCAACTCCAATTACTCGGCAATATTACGAAACCCGATCGGTTCCGTCAACTAACTGACACAGCCATGGCAAAGAAACCTTTCATTCGCGTGTATATCAACCATAGTTTCGCATTATCTCGCGCGAAACGACCACGGGAGTTGATGAGACTCCGTCGTAAACTTCCGAACAAGCCAACAACGCTCAACACTAAAGGTATATTGCACTGATTGTCCAGGGTGTGTGCAAACCCACTAATACCAAGCTCCCCAGTCCTGCGACACCAACGGCGTGAAACGGCCATCAGCGACTGAATGTGTCTTGCTCCTGCTCTTGTAGGTCGCTGGCCCCTGCACTGCCACGGACCTCTTGCGCTTGGTATACTGCACCTCCGACTCTGGCGAATCGTCCCTGCGTCGCCTCCTCGACGGTGATCTGCCCCGACCCCTTACAACCACAACCTCTGTCCTGGTTATCGACCCCCGGGCCCTGGGGATGTCACATAACCGAACCTCGGATCCTGAGAGTCTGACCCACAAACCGCATCGTCACGCACTGATTGAAATTGTGTGGCCCGCAACCCTGTCCTAAGATTCACACATCGTTGCTCCTTCACCACGAACACGTAGTAACTGGTCGCCACTGCCATCACAATCACCACCATGTGCGTCACGCAACGCCACCAACTGAACTCGTTCGTCATGCTCACCTTGGTGCTGACTCCGTCCTCGTAGTAGTGCTCGGTCGCGTCTGCTATCGGAATTGCCATCATGACCGCCGGCACTTTCGTCATCATCCCTGGGTCTTTGAAACTCGTCATCGACATCGGTATCAAACCCAGCGTCCTCACGTGCCTCTTGAGCGTCTCCTTGTTCATCGGCTTGGCCCCGGTGTCTGCAATCTGGTCCTTCGCATTGACCTTCGCAACCTCCATCTCGCCGTCCCGAACCAAGTTCTGGCGCCATATCCACCTCGTTTGTAGATGTCGTACTCGACCCACTCCGCGCCTATGAATCATGCCTCTCGCCGCTGCTGCGTCCGTCTCCAACTCCAGGGTTATCTTGATCTGCTCCTCCCTCATCTCGGCCATCTCCTGCAGCGCGTGCTCGATGGTGAGACCCCTGGCAGTTCCTGAACCCATGGCGTGGAACCCTGACCCCCCGCGCGATAACGCCACCGTCGCCTGATATAGAGCCCAACTCGCCAGTAGATGAGCTCCCAGTCGCACTCCTCCTGATGAGATGCCCTTGCATGTTGCCCCCAGTCCTGCCCAGTCCGCATCCACCGACACCCCCACCTTGCAAGTCTCATCCTGGCACGGGTAGTAGACCGCGATGTCAGCGGCCCCCTTCAGGTACCTGACCAGGCGCTTCTGCCTCAGCATGCGCTTCGCCTGCGGGCCCTTGCATGAACAACCCTGCTCTCGAACGGCCTCCTGAATATCCCATCTGTCTCCTGCCAAGTGCTGAGCAATCTCTCCGCGACTGCGATGGGCCATTGAACGCGGCCGTGGTGCTGGATCTTCTGCTTCTCGAACTTCCTTCGCTGTGTGCTTCGAGCTTGGCGTCTCAGCCGGCTTGGCGCGCTTCAAATCGCACAGCCCCAGCGCCTTCAAAAGCAGCTTCGGGCCCGGCAGAACGCCGAGGCCCTCCTCGCCCCAAAGAAAGCCACCCTGTTGAGAAACGCACCTTCTGCAGCTCCTCCAGGTCCCACTCGCGGTTGAGGCTTGGCCATGAAACGACTCGCCATAATCTCGAAAGCGCCCGGCTTCTCGTCGTAGACCTCCACGACGAAGTCAAGTCAACGTTCGGGTTGTAGTACAGGCAACATACCGTCTTCAACTCCTGATACCCGTCTGTTATTGCCGCCTCCGGAATCCCGCGAGTAGCCCTCTGCATTTCCCGTAGCATCCCTGATCGTCGCTGTGCTGGTGGTGGCCAGCAATGCTGCGGCTCTTTCAGCGACGCTTGACAGGATGCCACCGGTATGTCGTGGAGCCCGAGCTTCCTCCTCCCCTGCTCCTTCGGCCTCGTAGATGCTGCCCTTGATGCCGCCAGCTTCACTGCCCGCAATGCGGGTGTCCCTGCGAAAAACGAAGGGTCGGTTCCATCGCTGCACCTCCCATGAACGCAACGGCTCCTCACGATCCACTCGTTGTTCTGAAGATCGTGCTTGCCGTCGACCCACTTGGCCTCGAACGGCTCCAGTCCTCGAGCGGCAACTATACGATTACCTCGAACTCCTCCAAGCTCTTGATCTCCTCGGTCGCCCCGTTGGTAACCAGACCCTTCTGCAACTCCTCGCCTCTGTGCGCTCCCCTATAAACTCCATCCCCGCCAGCTTATCATAATTCACCCTCGGCTCGATCCTCGCGCGCGTGCCGATCCTCCTCCATGGTGATCGACGTCGGGACGCCTACCTCCATCACGCCATCCCTCCAGGGCGTAAGCGGCGCCGCGTCTCCTCATGCGATGATCGCATTGCCCGTCGTCCCCACGTCCTGCTCGATAGTCTCTTCTCCTGAGAAATGGTGTTCGACCGGTGTGCCTGGTGCTCGCTGTCCTGCGCCCTCCAGTCGGGGTTCCAGGACTCGGGCCGCCGCTGGCGGTTGTCCTGCTGCTGGTGCTGCCGGCGCTGCGCCTCCCTCTGGTTGATCTCCCCCTGCCGGGGATGGGCTCGGCCTCGCCGAAGATCCTCGCGAACCTCGCCCTGCGCGTCGCGTTGTGCATCGCCAAATTCCCTTCGCAAGCTGCGCGCCCATCAGTAGGTCTATAACCCCCGACGAGCGCCTTCGTAATGCACCGCCTCCGCCGTGCTGCCTCGTTCTGGCCCTCCCCCCCCAGACCCCGGGGGCCCCGCGGCGCCCCGATGCGTGAATTCCACACCTCCTTGTTGCACTTGTCCTCGGCGCTCCTCTGTTCCGTCTCCCCGGCGTGCTCGGCCCCTCGCGCCGCCCCCGCGATGACCTCGTCGCTCTCGTCGAGCCTTCCCGAGAAGATGCCTTCACTCCACCGCGGCTCCAGCTCGGAGTAATTCTTCGCCTGGATCTCGCAATCGATCGCCTCGCCTATCTTCCCCAGTTCAGACTTGCACTTCGCTCGCCCCAGTCTTTCCCAAGCTGTTCTGCCATTCGTCTCGATCGCAAACCCGGCGAGTACAAGCCTCGCGCGCCTGACCAACCATGGCATGATCAAGCTCTTCGGATCGATCTTCACCTTCAGATTGGACCCCAGCCCGCTGTGCAACGTCCGCAATAACGACTCCGCTCGCTCCTCCGCATTCTCGATCGCCCATTGCTCTAGTGAAATTATCCGGGTGACTTCCCCCGCCTGTGCGCCGTGCTTCCTGATGTCCTTCGCCGCCGTGATTGCCGCCTGTAATGATGGCTCCTGGTCGCTTTTCAAGGTGATGTCCACTGCGCCCCAGACGTCTGAGTATAACTCCACAGCTGAGTTGACGTACTCGCTGGGCCCCTTGTGCGTCTCCATGATGGCTGCCACCGCGTCCTCTGGCTTCTGAACCGTCGCCGGGGTGTTAGCCGTCTCCGTCTCCTCTTCGGCGTTCGCGAAGCAGTAGTCCATGCGAATGACTGGCATCGTCGTCTTCTCGCGTCCTTTCTCGATCCTCGCCGCGCCCCCACAGACACCATTTGCACGAGCCCCTGTGCAGCATGTGCGCCCTCTCGTGGATAGCGATCTCCTCCGCGGTCGGCTAGTGCCTCTCCATCCTGACCTCTGGCATCCGAGCCTCCTCACTCTCCTCTGGTTCATGTTGATATCCTGCGGCTTTTCTTCGTCGAATCCTTCCAGTGGACAGAGCTCCCCGGCATCCGCGTCGAAGCTGTAGATCCCTCTTCTCTTGGCTACCTTCAACGCCATGCTCAACCTGTTGGTCCTGGTCTCTTCCTCGATCATATTCTTGATATTGCTGCTCTTGTCTTGGTTGACCACCGCTCCGCCGCGCTCGTCGAACCATGCGGCCTGAGACCCCCTCGTCAGATCGCTGACCACTATGATCGTCTCATGGATGTCACGCGCGTCGAACTGTCCTCGCATTGGCGGCCTTGTCCCTGACGCCTATATCCTCGCCGTCTTGCAGCCATCTGCGTAGATCTTGGTGCCGTCTGCCCGTCGCAATGGCGGTGCGCCCGCTTCTTCTCGCGGCATGCTCGGTGCGAAACTCGGTGGCCACGCACTCCGTGCTGCGCGCGAATAGACCATGACCTCGATCTCCCCGTCGCGATCAGCTTCGAGATCTCCAGTCGGAATCAGGTAGCTTTCGTCATCCTTCATCTTGACGCCATTGGGATCTTCATCCTCACAATATGAGATATGCTGGTCAATCAGCTTGTCGTCCTCGCCATCTGTGATTCAGAATGCGTCGCCCTCCTCGGCGTCGCAGTCGTACCCTAAGTACTTCATGTCCGGGTCCTCTGGCTCACCGGGGGCGGGGGCGGTCTTCGGCTCGCCATGCTGGTCCATTCCGCCCTTGCCCTTGCATTTGATGTTCTTTCTCACATCTTCCTTCGTGATCTTTCCATCCTGCATGTCCTGCGTGGCCTTTCTGCGCTCCATCAGCTTGTGACCTGTCTTCCCGCAGTGCTTTCATGGCTGGCTTGTCGGGCTGCTGTCGTAACATGCCCTTGCTCTTGTCTTTGCCTGACTTGCCCTTGCCGTCTCTCCCGTATCTACCAAACGTTGGCGCATCCAAATCCATCGGAGCTGGCCCACTCAGCGCCATCGCCGCCTGCTTTGATCTCAAATAGTTTAACACTTCGGCGCTGACCAACGCATGCGCGGTGAACCTTGTCGCATGCAGCATCAAATGTTATCGAAGCATGCCTGGGGCCAGTTGGGTACTGAGCACCGACTTCTCGATGGACTCCACGAGTTTCTCTCCCATCTGCTCCTCGTAGTGCTGAACGAGCGTCTCCCACGATACGATGCCTATGATCTGATCATTTTCCTGCACGTCTGGATGCAACATTGAGTCACGCATCCCTGGGAAACTCGACGGCACCTTGGGCTCGAACTCCACACGCAGTGCTTCCAGTCCCTCGCCAGATGGAACGCTCTTCACAATGCCCTGCGCCTGGTTTTTGCACGTCAACACCAAAATCTACTACAGGTTGGTGTTCACCCGCTGCGCCTCCTCGTCCAGATCTTCGCGCGCGTAGGCCTCGGCGTCCACCTTCGCGGCGTCACGCATCAGCTCGGCCATGTGCGGATCCACTGCCATACAGTATGCTGCTAAGACGAAGCTCCCGTTCTCCCAGGTCGCTCGTTCTTGTACTTCGCAGTATCATCAAGCTCTCCTGAGAACTTGTCAAGCTTGCCGAGCAGCTTGGTATCCACCAACGATTCTTGACGGTGTGCAGGTCCTGGTCGATACTCCTCATGTCCTCCGCCTCCCGCTGTTACCTCTGCTGCTGCCGCCCGAGCGTTGGCCTGCTGGGCCTCTCTCTCTCTTGCTCCGTGATCTGATCACGCTGTCCGACCACAGCACCCTCCATGGCCACTACCCGTTGCAACAACTCCTCCGCTGTTGCCATCTCTGCGCGAGAAGCGTGGAGCCTGGCTGTGGGCACAACCAAGTTCCGCTACCATGCGGAATGGCGAAGCCCCTGGAATCTTTGTCTGGAGCCAAACGGTGCCAATGCACATTATATAAATTCGTACATCGTGAAACCCTGCGAAACGTTTTTTTTTTATATGTATATGTATATATATAAGTCCCCAGAGCATATCTGGAGTATTTTTGAATATGCCTCCTGTTGAAAGACAGGCCCGACTTAACCCTACTGGCCGGCGCAGCACCTGGGACCACGCCTGCTCCACTGGCTGGCGCGCCACCAACAGCAGCTCCGCTGTCTCCCCCCGCTGGCCGGCGGGGGACCCCGAGCAGCGGTTTTGGGCGAAAAATAATAAAAACAAGCAAAATGCCCAAACATTGTCAAACAATCATCAAAACATCGTCCCCAGACTACTTTGGCTATTGAATATTCCTCCTGAAGAGGGACACGCCCGACTTAGCACATGGCCTGAAACTACACTCGGTGCGAGTGAGAATAATGAGGCACCCGAGGGGAATTCTCAACCGAGAATCGAGGCTGCCTCGTACACCGCTGCTACGCATATCTACGCACCCTTCTGCTTGACTCCAAGGCGGGAGGCACCCCGCAGCACTCCAATCTCACCCCCCCGCCCCCAATATTCCACAATATCGCACGACTGGTTCACCACATCTTGGACAACCCTGCGTTTTTTTGTCCACAGTCGTACATGAATCGCCCAATGCGGCACACACACACACACACACACACGCACACGCACGCACGCACGCACACACAAACACACATTTTTGCGTCGGCGGCTGGGCAGAGGGACTGCTCCGGCGATGTGACACAAACACACACACATACACACATACACACATACACACACACACACACTCGACCATCATCGATAATCGAAATGCAAGCACCTGTGTAATAACGCGGTGGTCGCGAACAAATATCAAACACATCGTTTCAATATGGTCGGCAATTGTCCATGCAACCATACATACAACAGAAGCACACGAGCGGACACGACAACACATACATATACTCTTGTCAACTGAGGCCCCGAACCTCGAACAACATAACACACACACACATATATATATATATATAGTGAAAATGATACCGGAGAAAAGCCCCAATCATAATTTGTTTGGGGCTATAGGGCTATAGGGCTACAATAGGGCTATAGGGCTATAAAACGATAGGGATATAGGGCTATAGCGCTATAGGGCTACAGGGCATCGGGCACCCGGGCACCCGGCACCCGGGCACCCACCCGGGCACCGGGCACCCGTCACCCGGGCACCCGGGCACCCGGGCATCCGGGCACCCGGGCCTGGCCACCGAATCGGCGGCGAACCCGGGCACCCGGGCACCCGGGCACCCAGGCACCCGGGCACCCAAGCACCCGGGCCCAGCCACCGAATCGGCGGCACACCTCACCTACCCTTAAAACCGCTAGGACCCCTACAAAAGGAAGCTCTGATCTCGAACAACATAACATATATATATATATATATATATATATATATATATACATATATATATATATATATATATATATGTGTATATATGTATATATATATATGTATAAATAACGAATAATATATTAACATTGGTAAACTCATTCGCGCGCGTCAAGCCCCCAAAAAACAATATATTAATGTACGGTCCCGTGAAAAGTCGCGTTTCCATTTGGCAGAGAAGGAAAAACCGAAGGGAAAAGATGAACAACAAAGGGTGAAGGGGTAGAGGCTGGCACAAAGCCTTTGCACATCTGCTGACTCTTGGGTGGACCCTGCGGTTCCCTCCGGCGTTTCGAAAACCCCCAAAGTGGGTCCTCGCGGATGAGGTCGAAGGATCGGGCCGCATCCCCGAGGCATCGGAAGCGCCCGTAACACAGCAGCGACGTCCGTGCGGAGTAGATCGGGCCCTGCATCAAGCATCGCGATTGCATCGGCGATGCGCCGCGGTGCTCCGACCACATCTGGTGCAATTCGTGGACACCCCCTTTCCCTCCCAAATTCAAAAGCGGCACGCGTAAGGGAGGACTGCGGTCGAAGTGTAACACGTTCAACCCACCGCTGACACTGATCATGTAGAAGCCTCCTACATGGGGTCCGAGTGGAAGGGGTCGGAGAGTCGCGCCGCATCGGCGATGCATCGGCGATGCGTCGTCGATGCATCGGCAACGTTTCTGCTGCATCGGCGCCGTCGGCGTGGAGAAGATCAAATTCCACGCCGAGCCACATCGGCGATGAATCGGCGATGCGGCGCGACCCAATCTACTCCGACCTCATCTGGGGGGCCTAGATCAGCGCGGGGACATTCACAAATGAAGCGTTTTTCGTTTCCGTCTTGTTTTCGTTATCCCTCGTTTCGTGTTGATTCCGCCTTCGGTGTAAAACAAAGTCAAAACGAAAACGAGCCACGACATCTCCAGAACACCGTTTAGGTCGAGCCCTGGAATGCGACATGAGGGGTCGCTAATTTGTTCCGAAGCCTCTCTTGGAGGCCCTGCGCGCCGCGGTACCTCTGCCGTTCGTGGTATCCCGCCGCGCCCGCCCGCCAGCTCCAGCTGCTGGCAGCCGCCCTTCCGCCACCCTTGCCACCATGGTTTGCCACGGCCGCCCACCGCGCTCTGGCCCTGCGCGCCTGGGTGCTGCTGCCCCCCCCCCCCGCTGCTCATCGTCGAACTCTTCGACGTCTGAGCGTCTCTTCTTCCTCTCGGCCGCCCCCCCCCCCTGGCCCGCCGGCCAATTCGCTAGTATGTGCCCGTTTCTAGCTTGAGGTCGGGCCTGTCCCCCTGCAGGGGGATTTTGGAGGAAAAATGAAAATATTCAAAAGTAACGAAAGTGGTTTAAAAAAATCGTCACCCGATCTTGTTTTGACTATTTTTGAATATTCCTCCTGTAGAAGGACACGCCCGAATTCAAGTGCCCCTTTCTAGCTTCTCGCTGGAGCGGAGTTCGCCGCCTCGCCGCTGACGGAAGAACTGTCTGGGAGGCCTGGGGCGCGGGCACCCGCTGCTCCTCCTTCCCGGGCAGCTCGGGGGCGTAGGCCGCGGTCGTCCACAGCAGCAACCACTGCGCGCCGCACAAGTCCTCTCTCCCGGGGGCGGGTGGGGGCAGATCACGGAGACGTGGGTAGAAAATGAAAAAACGGCATAAACATCAACTTTTGGCGCTTCGCGCGGATTTCTTGAATCCGCGCTGGCCCCCTTTCCATGGCGCGCGGAGCGCGCCAAAGGGCGGCGCCGGAGGCGCCGCCAGGGGGGCCCAGCGCAGATCCAAAGAATCCGCGTGGAGCGCCAAACGTTTATGTTTATGGCGCTTTTCTTTCGAGAGGGAGCCCAATGCCACTGGAAACGGATGCGGTACACGTGTGGCAAGTTGTCGCAGGACCGCACCTTGGCCCTATCACTTGGGTTCGTCACGCAAGCCTGGGGCGAGCGCCAACACGCGTCAAACGCGTTGGCGGGCAGTGGCAAGCAGCGGGTACGGGTCTCCC